GCGCTGGGTTCCCTCGAACCCGCGCCTGGGTTCCTTTGAAGAACCCAAGCTTGTGAACCCAGCAGCAGCCGTTCATGTTTGTGCCGTCTAGGGTGTGAATGGCAAGAAGGAAAGAAGGTAATGATTTTTGCAGGAGGTGGGCCCCACAAAATTTTTTATTGGCTGAAATCTGACGTGTTTAAATGACATGGTATTGATCTGTAAATATTTTGACATGTCATCATTTTCCGTTAGTTAACTGGACACATCATCAAATTTTTAACGGAAGGACCAAATCGGGGTAAAAAGGGTAAACAGTAGGGACCAAATCAGAGATTTTTTGAGTTCAAGGACCAAATCGGGGGTCCGTACAATAGTTGAGGGACCAAAAAAGGGCTTTAACCTTAAAAAATCTTAATAAATTTTGATTAATTCAGAGTAAACTCTATAAAAAAAATTTCTACTACTTATTTTTTATTTATAAAATTTAAATTTAAAATTGTATTTAAAGAAAATTAAGTTTCACTCTAATTAACAAATAATTGGTTATTTGTACTTCATTAACTAATTTAAAAGATCCATTATTGTCACTCCTTGTGAAGTTAATTAGAAGAGTACGTCGAGCTGGAACTTTTTTTTTTAAATATAATTATATATTACAACCATATATTGACAAGTGGAGGAATAATGTTTGTGGTCGAATTTAGAGTCAGAATCAGTATGTCACACTATTGAGTTCTTATCACTTAATCACAAACATAGTTAGCATCGATCTGGAATTTGATAAGCTTTAGATTGATATTTAAAAAGAGAATGATTTAAAAGGTGTTTGTATGATATTTCACTGTTTTCTTTAATGCTAAAACAATGTTAAGTGATCTACTCTTATTTCTTTAAATTTCATTCTACTAAATACTCATAAGTCTTAAGTGTTTATTTATGTGATAAGGCCTTTTTTTCCTATATTTCTTATACTTAATAGTAAAAAAAAAAAATTTACATTCATTCAAAAAAGCAGAGGTTGGTTGCCCAATGCTTATTGTTGTGTATTCCGTTGTTTTAGAATAATAATAGTTGATTTTTTTAATAATGTAAATTTTTTTATTTAAAAAATAAATATTTTTTTTTTACTAAACTTTCAATATTAAAAAATGGTTAAACCCCTTTTTTGGTCCCTTAACTATTGTACGGACCCCCGATTTGGTCCCTGAACTCAAAAAATTCCTGATTTAGTCCCTACTGTTTACCATTTTTACCCCGATTTGGTCCTTCCGTTAAACAAATCTCCACCTGTACTGTTAATTCACGGTAAGATGATGACATGTCAAAATTTTACTCCACGTGAAAGACAACATGGCAATAAAAATTTTAAAAATTATTTCTCCTTCCTCGTCCCCTTTCTCCCTCCTCTTCATTTCCTGGACCCAGAGCCTGGGATCGTCGAACCCAGGCGATGGGATCCTTCAAACCCAGCTGGGCGTTCCTCGTTCCCTTTCTCCT